AGAATAAAGTGAAATAATATGGACCACAAAATTTCTTACCAAAAAAGAAAACATGACATCAATTTTGGGACAACCCAAAAGGAAAGTAAGACAACCATATATAATAGGATGTAGGAAAGTAATGCATTTTCTTAAATAGGATTGCAATGTTATCTTTCCAGAATAGGAGTTATTCATTCTTATTTTGAGATGCTATAATATTTTTATTATATATTTATAGAATTAAGCAAATCTTAATTTGAAAACAAAACATATGTTGTTCTATTTTTAACTTTATTTATGTCTTACCCTTACTTTTATTGTAGAGTTCAGTTCCTGTATTTATTATACGGAGTAACTTGCTACTTTATCAAATTGGTAATGTATTTTTCTTTTTCGAAGAGAGAGTATATCAAATCATGTTTAGAATGGATCACACATTCACACCACTTCAAGAATAGGAAAAATGCTTTTAATTAATTAATTAATTATTAATAATTTAATACCATAAAGGCATAAACTTTGACCAAAAATTCAATGTAATTGAAGTAAAAAATAAAAGGAAATCAAGAAATAACTCTGTTTAGATTTAGGCATTCCTTCGAAAATATCATCTCTCCATACATTGACATGTTTGTATGATACTTTGTCGTGACAAGGTTATGCGGTAAGAGTTAATCAAATATGTCAACATGTATTGCCTCGTCAACTAGATAACATTGTAAGCAAAGTTAAATCACCTACTTACATCGGCACAAAGCCTAGTCAACATGTAGTTTGATAACTAACACTTCAACTATTAACATAAGCATTAGATAATTTAGATCAATTAGCTAGCAACTTAACCTAATCTTTTCACTATACTTGCATCCAAGAGGAACGGATCTAGAATTTAAGACTAATGAGACGGATTTTGGTATTGGGCAAGGTTCTGTTTATTTTTTATTCAAAAAATATACTACCTCCGTCCCTCTTATATTGGAACAAAAGAGAATGACACGATTATTAAGAAAAATGAGTTTGTGTGGTTGATATTAATTGATAAAGTAACAATAAAATAAAAATGATATAGATCCACACAAACTTACCAAATATAGTATGAGACAATTTTAGTGGGATTTTCTGAAATGGTAAAATGGGACAATATACGGAGACGGAAAGAGTATTCGTTAGCACATATTTGACATTTAAATCTACTATTCTATGTTTAAACACGAAAAATTGTCAAATAAATTCATATCTTTACCAAAAAGTTAATTGAGTCCTCGTACTTCCAAAGAAACTGTTAAAAACAACTAAACATGTTTTGCAGGTTACTAAACAGTTTCCCGTAATCACTTACATGGATGGCCAGCACTTTTTCTACTGTTTTCTATTTTTTTTTAATTCTTCTTTCTTTTTTCCTTTTCTCATTCTTTCATCTTTATCCGAGTGAGTTGGACTTGAGGTACACATTTTTGGTGCACACACTTTTACACATGTTTGTGTAGATTTTTTTTTTTGTCTATACAGACAAAACATATTTTGTCAAATACGTTTTGTCTATACAAAAAAAACTCTACACAGACATGTGTAGAAGTGTGAACACAAAAAACTCTACATAGAATTTTTGAACATATAAAGTAAATGTAAGATAGTGAAGTAGTAAAAGTGCATAAGATGTTATCATGTTAAAGTATTGGAGGGACTAAAAAGAATTACAAAAAATGGTAGGAAGAAGTTGCATTGGCCGTAAACAACATTCAATCTACCTATCTACGTGTATAGCTAAATTGATTGAAAACTTGTCATTCTAGAATCTTGATTATATTTTTTGGGGTTGTCATTAAAACGCCAGGCAGGCAATGTTGAACGAGCTGAAGTAGCATTGAATAAGAAAGGTTCACGTGATGTATTAGGAAATAATGGTAGGAAGAAGAAAAAATTGCAGATTTCCCCGTGTGGGCGCAGTGGCCGTAAACAACATTCAAGATCAATTAGAGAAAATAAGGAAGAGGGGAAGAGTGATGGGGTTTCCACATGGAGAAAATTTGATTGTAAAGAAGAATAAGAGTGAGGAGTGTGAGCTTTTAGTGGAATGGAGAGCCATGTTTGGCAAAAATGATAACATGATTACCCTAAACAAGTGTGTGACAAAATGCTAAAATGTACATTAGGTGGAGTTTGGTTTGAACGGCATTTCATTATACTAATAGTGTTTTTACTGGTGGACAGCACCGCTAATGGGTATGTGAACACTATCATTTTGAACAATGTGGTTGACGTGGAGGATATAAAAAACCTAAATTGGTGTATGTCATATCAACATTGATTAAGTTGTTATGGGAGAAGAATACAAAGAACTTCACTGGACCGCTCTTATTTCTAATGGTATGAAATTTTATAAATAATCATTTATTAGTAATTTAATGTATGTGTTGCACATAAAATTGGACGTGTTTTGACAATAGTTTTTTTTGCAGGTAATGTATGTAGATAGAGCTGTATTATATACTCCGTATAAAAGAAATGTTATGAGGTCTCAACCAAATTTGGTAGAAGGAACGAATTGAGAAATGGAACTCATATGCATAATAGGAAACCGAGAATCAAGGAAAATAGACAATCATGGATTGAAATTCTTTCTAGAAAAGCTGATGTATGTCGGCGGTTACATATTTCAGCAACGGTCGCTAAGTTTTTGATAAGAGTATATGGTCCCGGACCCTCGGTCCACATACTCCTGGACGTACGAACGGCCCAATACCACGGCAGCACCAGTAGGCCTAACCAAGGAGCCCAACCTGGAAGGAAGAAATGGGTTCTCCTGCTCAATCATCACCTCGGTTGCCACACCTCAAAGGGGGCACCTCGGTAGAAGATCGTCAGGAGCACCATCCAGGGACTTCCATTGATACGAGCGAGGGCAACAGATTGAAAAAATGAAGGCAAGCATCAGGTATTTATAGGTGGGGTAATGATGACAGCCCAACGGTCACTACACGTGTCAAGAATCCAGACGTTGCTCGGTTCAATCGACGCAACCGCTCGGATTCAACCTCTCACCTAACGCCACATGTCATTTGCGACCCCCCCCCCCCCCCACAGGAAGGTAACACGACTTACCGGTTACACGGCTAATGTAGACATTTGGACACGACTATTCAACACCAACACGCCGGAAGGATCCCACGATAGGCCGCACCCCCACGCGTGAGTCACGAAACCGCCTCAGGTCGCATCCTCACTCAAAGGATCGGAGCAAGCCCCTCGATTTGAGCATCGCGGTGACGTTCTCCGGCCAGCGACCTTCAAGCAAGGATTCTCCCACAGGGTTGCCTTGCCCAGGGTTCGCCGACGAGATCAGACCTCGTGCCGTCTCGAGGGAGGCTTCTTGGGTTCAAGGTACGACATGATCACCAAGCAGCCCTCGGTGGTATACCGCACTCCTCATCCCGATATTCATTTCGACATCAGGAGTCGGGGGCTTAGGGGACTACACCTCGGCCACAACACAGAAATGCGAAAATCAGAAAAAAACTAAAAAAAAAATACTACCAAAGACACCTTTGACCTCTAAGGGAATCAACGCCAGAACAACTCTACTCCCTTTCACTTCGGTACTTCTCAGGTTAGAGAGTGGGGGACTCCTCATACAGTGTATGGGCCCGGACCCTCGGTCCATATACTCCTGGACGTTTGAACAACCCAATACTATCGTGGCACCAGTAGGCCTGACCAAGGAGCCCAACTCGAAAGGAAGAAACGTGTTCTCTGGCTTAATCATCACCACGGTCGCCACACTCGGAGGGGGGCACCTCGGAAAAAGATCGTCAGTAGCACCATCTAGGGACTTCCATTGATACGAGCGAGGTGGACACTGGCACCTCGGCCCCATCACCAGCATGGGTCGTCATTATTTCCTTAGCGGATTAGAACACTTGTAAATAGCCTATTAGCGGCTCATTATGTAACTGAGTCTCCCAAGCCCAAGGTCTGGGAGCCCAACACATATTCCCCTTATAAATACCCCCTTTTGGCGGTAGTTGTAGAGGGTTCACAAATCATTTATTGCAAGTTCTTTATCTCTCTATTAGCTCTCTCTTCTCTCTAGAATTATATCACTTCGATAACCGGGAAACTATCAGTTCCATTTACAAAAAACGTCTCAAGTATTTGAGGACAATTTGGGTGACGACGGTTAATTAATGGTTCAAATGTTTTCTACCTTTTCACACGAATGGGCCTTTTTTATTTGATCTCAAATATATATAGGGAGCGGTTCCGATGAGAAAGGACTATCAGGAGTGAAATGAAAATGAATCTGAACTGTTAGATGATATTATGTGAAACCGATGTGTCCATTTGATATAGATAAAATGTACTCGTACATTAAGTAAATTGAAAAGTGTAGAATAAAAGGTAGAACTCAAGTGTGAATTACGCGAAATTGATATGTGCAGAATTAAAGACACAAAATGTCACAACATCATAGTTTTTATTCTGCACATTTCAAGTTCACCAAATGTATATTTCAGTTTCACCTAATGCACAATCCAGCTTCACATACTGTTACTTTGGATTACCTCTTGTACTGCACATGTCGACTTCATCTAATGCACATTTTAGTTTCACCAAATGCACATTCAATTTCACATAATATAAACTAACGGTCTAAATTCATTCTCCGATCCCCATTCTTTTGCACCTAGATCTTACGCTGTGCTGCATTTGTGACTTATAAGAGCCTGTTTGGTGACCTCTTTTTTCGGCTTGCCAGGCTTATCAGTCAATTTTTTCCTCAAACACGTAATTTTTTATTTCGCGCGCTAAATTTTGTAATAAGCAGAAAAAACAAGGTTGAAGTTACTTTTGTGCCTGTATTTGCTGAAGTTAATGTAGATGATCATTTTAGCTATTTTTATTTAATTTATTAATAAAAATTATTTTAAATATAATTTTTTCATGAATCAGCCAATACAAGAACCAAAACTTTATAAATTCAGCCAATTTTAATGTTAACAAATAGCCTCATAATATGCTTTCTATTGGTGTTCTTGGTGGGATTTCTCCCTTAATACCACTTCTGATCTGGGATTTGGATTTAGAACGATGAATGAAGACCAAAATCTCAAAAACGAGATGACGAATCGTGGATTGTATTGTTCAAGACGAATTTGATTTTCGTTCATTTAGCCAATATTAGTGTTTGATTCGGGTTTTCTCTTGATGTTTCTAGGTCAAATTTCTCCTCCGATTATAGTTCCGAGATTGGATTTGTTTTTGGAATGTTGATTTTTGGCCAAAAACTCAACAATGAACGGATGCAAAAATCGTGGGTTTACTGTTTACTTCTCAGAACCAATTTCGGTGAAAAGAGGTTCGGCTGGTGTTTATCGTTCTAAGACGAACTAATAGGTCCTGTGCTTGAGCGAGGAAAGGCTGGTCTACTGAAACCCAGAATCCGGATACTGTTCACCGTTTCTGCTATGGTAACGAAGATGCAGGGGTCCGTGGAGCATTCGACGGCGCGAGTGACCAGGTTCAGCTATGCTCTCCTTGCAAACACAGATTAGGCCATTAGGGGTTCCGAGCTCTATCATCTGGGATTAGCCGGAAGAAGCCTGCAAAATAATCTGGGGCTGTTATTTTGAGATAGATGATGCGGGAGATGCTACTGAGGCAGTGAAATCAATCCCAGCTGCTGGGTCTGCACAGTGTTACTGAAAGCTGCCAGGAGCTGGGCATAATATGTTGATGGCAGCTAGGCAGATTTCAAAGGAGGGGGATGTACCACTCGGTATTGAACTTGAGGTAAATCCTGGATAGTTTCCTGCTATGGGTGTTCCAAAAGAACAATGACATGGCTATAAAGCCATGGACTACTCTCTTCAGAGATAATAGAGATCCTACGCATGATATCAAACTCAGATACATCCCACTAAAAACAAAGTGGTTAGACTTTGCAGATAGAGTTTTGTCATCCATGGTTGAGATATGGGGTTATTGTCTTGTTGCGTGCTTTACAGGTAGATTCCCTGGTCTTAAAGCAATTCATGAATTGAAATCAAAATGGGAGTAAAATATCTTGTTAGATCCCATGATAAAGGTTGAGTAATTTTCAAATTTCAGAATGAATCAGATAGGACTAAGGTGCTGAATGAGGTCCCTTACACCTTATTTGGGAAACAATTAATGCTAAAAGTACTATCGGAAAACCTCTCTTTTGAAGATGAAGAGTTTCTAAAAGTACCTATTTGGATAAACCCAGACTATCATAGAAGCTTCGGAATGATGAGGCTATGAGTGAAGTAGTATTGCTGGTTGGCATTCCATTGACTACGGATAACCGATAAGGACACCCATGACAGGATGAATCACGATTTTGCTAGGGTTCTAATTGAGGTGGATGTTTTGAAGCCACCCCAGCTCTCATTTCCCATAACATTACCTTTCCGAAAGGTATTCAATCAAATGGTGGTATATGAAATGTTTCCCAATTATTGCTTTCACTGTAAAGAATACGAGCACCACCCATTTATCTGTAAAAAGTTGACACCTACAAAGGATGGAAAAAGTGTTCAAGATGTTAGGAAGAAGGTAGAAAAAATTGATATGACCCATGAGGAAAAAAGAGAAGAAACTATCCAAAATATTGGAGATGAGTTGGTGGAAAAGGGGAAAAAGAATCTGGTGAAGAATGTTGAGGTTGAACCGTTGGTGGATAAGAGGAACTGGATTTTGTAGAGAATGGTACATGGGTTGAAGGGAGTGACACCCCTTGGGTTGTACCGGCCCAAAACCAGGTTGCTCAACCTGGGCTACTGGAATCGCCATTAATTGGGCTGTCAATTGAGCCGGAATCTGCTGTGCCAAGATTACATCAATTAAATGATCTATATATATAAACAAACTAGAAAAGTGACAAGTTTTGAATATGTGGCTTTTAATTCTACACTTGTACTAAGGGGCAGTTTTATGATGTCATTTTAGTACTTCACTAAGTTAATTAAAATTAAATATTCATATTAGTATTTATCTATTATTTTTGAAAGTGCTAATCATGAATGAAGTTGTCACTAGATTGAAGATGAAGTCATTACAAATCGTACATGGGTCCGAAATGCACGAATAAGTGAAAAATTCTCACAACAGTTCAAGAGGGTGAGAATATTTCCTGCAGTCATTACAACTTTTATGTTTTTAACTATTTCAAGATTAAACTAGCTATTTGCGTGAGAAGAAGAGAGAGGAGCGGCGAAGGATAACCCTAGCCGCCGCCTCTTATCTTCTTTTCTTCTCTTCTTTTGATCCCAATCATGAAAATGGTTTTGTTTGATCAGTATTTTCAGTTCTACCGTATCTTTACGTTTATTTCCTAATGCTGTCTAGATGTGTTATTTTCTCCAATGTAAGTATGTAACTGTGGATTGGTGCTATGGATTGGTAATGCATGGCCACATATTTAAAATAGATAGTGGGATGAAAAAATCTTCTCCAATGTAAGTATGTAACTGTCTATTTTAGTAGCGGTGACATGGAAATGGAAAGGGTAGAGGATGTCTCATGGTCTGTCTAAATTCAGCAGGTCTATCAGAAATCATGACTCGGTAAAAATTAATTTTTTATCAAAATTTTTGGGGGAAATACAAAATTTTCCACCGGACTTCCATCTAGGGCTGAGCAAAACCTGAACTGACCCGCAAAACCCGAAGTTTTTTGCGGATAATACCCGTTTGGATATGGATATCTGTCCCGAAACCGAAAATCCGATTAGTTTTGAGCCTAGACAGGGTGACGGGTAGGGTTTGTAAAATCCCAACCTGACCCGCCCGAAATATCCGAAATATTCTAAATTATGTAGTGTGTACTTTGAATATGTTAAATTAATACTTTTGCTCAATTATTTGTGCAATTTGTGATAAATTATTTGTGTAATTCGAATTTGTAGTGCAATAGTGTGTACAATTTTTTGTCAAAGTGGCATTTTAACACTTTAATTATCCAACTATAATGTGTTTTAATATAACCGAAATATCCGAAATATATTAAATTATGTAGTGTGTACTTAGAATACGTTAAATTAATACTTGTGTTCAATTTTTTATGTAATTATTTGTGCAATTTGTGTTAAATTATTTGTGTAATTCTAATGTGTAGTACACTAGTGTGTACAATTTTTGTCAAAGTGGCATTCCAACACTTTAATTATCCAATTATAATGTGTTTTACTATACCCAAAATATCTTAAACTCGATCCGAAATCCGATAATATTCGACTTAAAAATATCTGAAATACCCGATTTGAAATATCAAAGGGTCGGACCTAGTATTTAAATTAAAAAACCCGAACGGATTTAGGGTACGCAGACCCGACCCGTGCACAACCCTACTTTCATCGCTGAAGACTCGAAAAATAAACTGGGTCTTCGCGTTAGGCTTGTCAAATACTCACCTTTCATTAGACTTTGACATAATATTTAAGGGGAAAATAATAAAGAAAATGAATAGTGTAGAAAAAGCAGGGGAAGTGAGAAAAACATGAAAGAAAAAATAAAAAGTAAAAAGGTGATGATAATTGATTATTTTTGAAGAAAAATTTAAAGGAAAATGTTGTAAATTTTATATACCACGTACAGTATATGTTAAATAGAAGAGGGGTATGAAGTACTACTTACCACACGCAAATTTGATCCAGCGGGGGAAATCCGACTTCTTAGGTTGAACTGGTGCAAGACAACCAACCCCACCATTAATTCTCTTTTTACCATCGCCTACAATCTGATACCCATCCGGACAAGAGCATGTATAGCTTCCAGGCGTGTTTGTACAGTTCATTTCACATTGATGCTCATGATATGGATCTGTACACTCGTCAATATCTACCAAAAAAACTCAACCATTATTGACTCGAATAAAGGGAAGAATTGAATAATAATCATATTTTAGTCCACTAGCTTCTTCTGTCTGTTTTTTATTTTGGAAAATTGACTCCACTAGTCCACTATGACTAAAATTGGAAATAATGGCCACTACAAAAAAACATAGATTTCCCGACGGATATTTAGCAACGGTTAGTACCGTCCATAATTAACCACGGAATTGCCGACGGAATATTGACGAAGCCGTCCCTAAATCGTTGGTAATTTGTGACAGCCGTACCGATGCCGCTGAATCTTGTATAGTTTAGCAACCGTATCGCGACGATTGTTTCCGTCGTTGTTTTATGAAATTTACTCTTCTGCCCCTCTTCTCAGCTACTTCCATCCGGAAAGTCATCTTTATCTACACTTAGATACCAACGTAGCCTCTCAAGTGTATCCCCACTTGAGGTGGCGGTGGCAATAGTGACACGGGTGGTGGTGGTGGCAATAGTGACACGACCGCCCACCTCCTCACCCCTAGCAGTGGAGGTGTAGTGGTGGCAATAGTGACACGAGTGGTGGCTACAGTGACATAAAATTTAACAGTGACATACAAATTTGGCAGACACTATGCTTTTCTAAATATATGACCTTCTTGATCACTTTTTTTCCCCTTTTTAAAAATGGTCACTTTTTTTATAATTGGTTCAAAATTAGTAATATTTAAATGAAAACCCCCTAAAATTGAATATGGATATGCATGAAAAATTAAAAATTGCTCATTATAGTATACGTAGCATCGTAAAAAGTAGGACTAAATATATTATATTCCTTAAATAAGACTTCCTAAATATATTATATTCCCTAAATAAGACTTCCTAAATAAGACTTATTATAACTTTTATTTCTACTTACAAATTTTCCTCCATTAAAGAATGTTTTGCTTATACATGATTAAAAGTCTGACTACTTTTATAACTTTGCATTACTTCATTTACTTTTACATATATTTATTGACCTGAACCAATTGATAACTAATGATGTATTGTAATTACGGTATATATCCTCACTCGTTAAACATGTACCGACTACGTACGTACCTTGGCAGCCGTGAGAGATATAAGGATTGCCCTCATAACCATCCTCACACCTACAACGGTAACCTCCGGATTCAGCTTCAACGTCAACGCATTGACTTTTCTCCTTGCACGCATAATCATCGCTGTTATTAGCGACCTTACATCTCAGAATCCCAATAGCCCAATCCAGTACAATCGGAACGGTTTCCATGACCCTCTGTATAAAATTCGGATCCTTAAGGTCATCGAAGCCCCGGAAGTTAAACTTGCCGGTCTCCCCAATAAACGCGTACCCGCAAGGGTTACCGGACCAGACCTGAGTATGGTTGGACGGGGATTCCAATCTAACTAAGCTATAATACTTGGATCCCTTCGGAATCGTGTATTGGCAGCAACCGTTGGTACCTTCACAGCTTCCGCCAATCACATCCTCCGGCTTGTCGCAAGAGGCGGAGCAGACTTGTGCGGTCCTCTTCATCTTTCCGAGGTTGTCTCTGGCCAAGGTAGCATCGTCGTCGCACCCGACAACAGTGAACTTATTTTCATGAGAGAAAGTGTAGGGGTTGTAATTGCTGAAATCGGTCCAAGTTGTAGACGCCCAATTTTGTGAGGTCACGGCCCCTTTCCGGTTGTAGCATTGGTAAACAACGTCGTTGGAGATCCAGACTTGGGAGTCGGAGATGTGGTAGACGCAAATGTTTCCCATTAGAGGCTTTGGAGGATTGTAAGTGGTGTTGCAAGTGATTTCCATGCTCGAGTCCAGAGCGCAATCCGGGGCCACTCCGAACGGGTACGGGATGGTCACGTCTCCACACTTCCGTGGACATCCCGGTTTGGTGATGTTGGTGCCTTTGGTGATTGTAGTGGTTGCTGTAGCATTAATGGGTGGAATTAGGGCAATGGTTGGCGGTGAAAAGAGGAGGAGGATGAAGGAGGCAAGTGGAAGAGAAACTGCTGCCAACCCTATTGGGGGGTGCATGTTAGTGGTTACCAGAGTGGAAGTAGTACGTAGTAGCGACATGCGAGCTAGCTAGAGTATGTACGTGAGAGATACTTCGTTGATGACCTCCAAGTCGCCTGGTGCTGTTTTTAGTTCACGTGTATACTAAGTACAATAGTAATGCACATGCTTCCCTCCTATCTACACATGTGAGTTTGTTTCTCACGGGTTTAAAAAGACAAAAGGTCATGTCATCCATTTATTAGAATTTAATTTTGTTTTTTCGTGATTTTAAAACTTACTACGTATTTTTTAAAGTAGGGCAGTTTTAAACTTATTTTACAAACTAAGGTATATTTTTGCCATGTCACCCTATCTGACACGTCACTTATGCCAAATAGTTGCTTGTCATTCCATGTCATCAGATCCGGATATGTTTTGCTCAAGTAAAAAATTATGTTGCTAGTGGGAGTTGAACACAAAACCTCTCACTCCTTAGCTATGAAAGAACCGCTGGACTATCATAGTTATTTGGTACTCCCTCTGTCCCGCTATGATTGTCCCATTTTATCATTTCGGTCCGTCCCACTAAGATTGTCTCATAACTTATTTGGTAAAGTTTGTGTGGTTCTAAATCATTCCTACTTTATTCTTACTTTATCAATTCAATTTCAACCACATAAACTCAAATTTATTAATAACTGTGTCACCTTTTCTTGTCTCAAACTTAGGGGGACGGAGGTAGTACATGCTTTCATTTAAATACATTTAACATATGTGTGGTATAGATTTTAAGTTGTCGTATGCACTGTTTTAACTCTTGTAGTACTAGTTTCTTTAGAATATATTAATTCTTTCTCAAATAATTAAAGATTATGTTAAACTTTTAATTTAAGATATTCAATTAAAAAACAAAAACCCAATTAAAAAATATGATAAAAACGTAAGTAGATATATGTAATAAAAATGTATTTTATATGTTCGAGTTCAAATAAAATGTTCAAAATCGAGCTAAACAAATAATGAAAAATTGAAATAAAGTCAATATATAAATAAATGAATATATAAATGAATAAATGAATATGTAAATATATAAATAAATAATTAATTAATTAACTAAAAAAACAAACAAATAAATAATAAATAAATAAATACATCAATATAAATTAATAAATTAATAAATAAATTAATAAAATTAATTAATTAATTAATTAAATAAATAAACGAATAAATGAGTGAATAAATTTATTTACTTTATTTATTATTTTAATTATTTATTCATTTATATATTTATTTATTCATTTATTTACTTATTTATTTGATTACTTTCATGTATAAATATTACATAAAATATTCTACACATATTTTTTTTATGTTTAGCTCGAATTCGAGCATATTATATGTACTTGAACAGATAAAAATTAATTTGTGAAATTTGAACCGAACTCAAGCCTTACTCCAGCTAAGCCTGAGACTGTATAAAGAATTTTTCATAAATAAACGTTTAAACTTTTTTGCGTTAAGAATATAATGTTTTATTAATAATTTGGGTTGAGTTATTATAATTTTTTAATCATATATCTCATTTATGTTAAAAATCTAAACTATGGTAATCTGTATCTATGTTGTAAGACCCGAACCGGACCGGCCGGATTGACCTGGAAACCGGTCACCCGGCCTTATATCCGGTCGGGATGAGCATCAACCCGTAAATCAGCCCAAAACCGGAATTAGCCATCGACCCGCCGAAAGCCGGGATGTACCCGACTCGGCCCAAACCTAGAAAATGCCAAAAATCCGGAAAATTGGTCGCCAGGAGGAGTCGAACCCGCACCCAACGCTTCTAACACAGACTTGCGGACCAACGACGTACACTAGCTTGTTAATATTTTTGGTGCATTAGCTATACTTATACCTTATCAATCTGGAATTTTTCAATTATTCTTAATTTATTTATTAACTAATAATACAAATACTACTAAATACATACCAATGCTTCTATGTGCTATTATTCTTCCGGTACATAATCTCCAGCTATGTTGTATTGTACTCCCTCAGTCCCAAATTGTAAGATACATTCACTATTCACTTGGTCAACATAAATCACTCCTAAACTTTTATTTTATATATCAAAAGTTTATGAAGTTTGAATTATTTTTTGCAGGTTTTGTAGCGAATTTAATGTAGTTTTTGAATATGTAAATTTTATTTTCTAAAACTAATTTGGGTGTTGACAGGGATCAATTTGCTTTATCGTCAGTCAAACATCGTAAACCGAAATGTATCTTACAAATTGGGACGGAGGGAGTATTTTATTTTGTATAATTGGTATTATGTTCATATTTATTACCCATCTAAATCCCCAAGTATTTTATATATTTTTTTAAAATCAATACACATAAATACAATAGTTTTTAAGTGTAGCAATAAACTATTATGTTCATAATAGTTTTTCCACATTGCTTATGTTTTATTATCATTATTAAATTATGTAGGAATATAATTTTTCTAATGATGAATTCAATCTATATATAATTAATTAATTATATGTATAATCGTTGACCGGGTTTAACGGTCGTTGACCGGGTTGACCCGCCGGGTCCGGGTTGACCCGTGACCCGATCATCTGTCCGGGTCACTCTCCAGTCCGGTTTTTACAACATAGCTCTGTATATGTTAAATGAATGTAAACGAGACTATGTACCAAATGAGCATGATAGCCTAGTGGTGATACCTGACTAATAGGTGAAAGGTTTTGGGTTCAATTCCCACTAATGACATTTTTTTACCAAGCAAAACACACCCAAGTTTGATGACATTGAATGACTACCAACTATGTGGCATAAGTGACGTGCCAGGTCGGGTGACATGGCAAAAAAAATACCTTAGTTTAGGAAATAACTTTAAAAGTACCCTAGTTTGGGAAATAAGTTTTAAAACTATCCTACTTTGAAAAAAACTCAAATTTTCATCTATGAAAAGCTAGTACTACTCACATTTTATTTGTCCTATTTGATTGGCACGATTAGTAATAAAGTGATCGAAAACTTAAAAATTGTGATTGATATTTGAGTATAATAAAGTGAGATATTTTAGACCACATAATTTTTTTTTCAAAAAAACGAAATGTGACACTTATTTTGGATAAATCCAAAAAGGAAAATAGAATAGTTAAAATGAGAGGGAGAGAGTAATATAGATGAAAGTAATAAAGAGTAAAATGAATTCACTAAAAATAAAGGGAGGGACCCGAGGGTGATATAATTAGAGCAAATTTCGGGTAGTCGTCATTCTATACTTTATGAGCAATTTTTATTGAAAGTTGTTATTACCCTTATAATTATTATATGTATAGTATTACCTCCCTCCCAATGGACCTTGCACACTTTGAATTAGGTGAGAAATAAAAAGAGTAAAAATTGTGTGATTAAGGTTTATAGAAAAGAGAGAAATTAAATGATTGAGCGGGACAAATTAGTTACTTTAATATGGGAAATTGACAAAGTTTTTTAAGACAACAAACAAGGGAAAATTGGTACTCCTGTCTCATTTTGGTTGTCTTACTTTCCTTTTTGGGTTGTCCCAAAATGAATGTTATGTTTCCTTTTTGGCAATCAATATATATGTCGTCCATATCATTTGAGTTTATTCAAGTCAAACCTCAACCACAACTTTTACTTTTTAATCACTTTATAAATAACTGTGTCAAACTAAAAGAGGACAACCATTATGGATGGAGGTAGTAAAATTCAATTGGGAGTAGGTAGTATTTAGGAGGTTTGACCGAAGTTGTGGCTTAAGGATGTTTTCTTTTGGACTGTTTTCAGTCCCAGACCAGACCAGACTAGACTTAAACAGACTAGACCAGACCAGACCAGACCAGACTTAAACAGACCAGACCAGACAAGACCATACTTCCGTAGTTATAAAATACACAGAGACCAGACGTTTACCAGACCAGACCAGACCATACTTAAACAGACCAGACCAGACCAGACCAGACCAGACCAGACCAGCAAATTTCAGCCCAAAAGAAAACATCCTAACATCCCGTAGTTTGGTAGATAACGTCTGATGACTCAACAAATGTTTGGATTGCAACAATGTAGCATTATCTAATCTAAAAACTTATAAGCACCAATTATGGTTAAGGGCATTTTAGGATTGTTAAAAATGTTGGTGTAACACTAAAGCAAGATACACTTGTACAATTTATTTTAGGAAAAATTGACAAGAATAATCTCAACTTTCACTGGTCTTCTCATAATAATCTCACCTTTACGTAATTCAAGAATAATCCCACATTTGCATCTCATCATATCTTCTTTCATTAGACCCTTACAAAGGTGTGATTATTTATATAAGATTTTCAAAAAAAAATGTTCAATGAAAGAAAATAGGGTGCAAAGATGAGATTATTTTGGGATTATGTAAAGTTGGGATTATTATGAGAAGACCGGTGAAAGGTGGGATTATTCTTATCAATTTTTATTTTATTTTATTGTACCATTCATCATTAAATCTATTTCTCTCCTTACTTCCGTTAAAGTCTAACGTTTAGGCTTTGTTTGCAAACAATTAAGTTAAGTGCTTTTGGCTTTTTTTTTAAGAAAAAAACACTTATTTTACCAAATAATACCAACTTTTACTTTCTCGGTTTTCATGTAGAATCTACTTTTTACTTTTTCTATTACACAATAAGCACTTATTTTACCAAACACTACCAACTTTTACTACTAATCACTTTTTCTCAAAAAGTGCTTTTATTTAGGGAAATTTATGTATATATTACTAAAACTCATGTTAATTCCCATAGAATGACTAACCATACTTTTTTACCTTCGTATGACTAGAATGTGCAAATCCATGTTCATGCAAATCACTTCCATAATTTTAGGATGAGTTAGTTACTTGTTAAAATTGAATTAACCGTGGAATTAAATAAAGATTAAGAAACACGGGAATAACCATGCATCATATTTAGGCATGAAAACAGGAAAAAAACTCATGGAGTCATATATTGGGAAACATAGCGTCTTTTAGTCACACGAGAGGTAAATATCTCTTTTATTTAAGCACAATCACTTGCAAACACAGCCTAAGTTTCCATCCAACATGTTGTATGTGGATTTGATGCTTTTGATTTCCACTCATGTTTTCATTCAATTTCTTGTTTTAATTTTTTCCACTACGTCACCTTATGATACGTAGAGTATAAAAATGAGTTTTATGAAATATGTTCTCATCTCCCTTCCGCAATGAAATTAAGCACGGATACTCCACAAGATTTTCACACTCCACTTAGGTGGTGTTGTGAATCCGATTCATCAAATTGCAGAAATAGAAGTTGGAGTGTTTGGGTGAAAGTGCAGAGATACTTCTGGTGCTCTGACTTACGTACTCCTAATATAAAATCAGTTTTTAGAAGTTGAGGGAGACCAGCTTATGAAAACTGATATTGATTCTGCTTCTAGTTTATATTATAAAAAAAAAAAAACAGAAACAAAAACAGTACCAAACAACTCTTAGTTATTAACCACATGTGGCCAACTTCTGCATTTCTAACTAACCAGATTTTTCCAGTTTTTGATCACTTCTGCATTTTTAACTTATCGAACCGGGTTTTGGTCCAGATCGCCGGGTTCCGGATTGACTTGACCAGTCTGAGTAAGTTTTTTAAACATAGAAATATCCTCAAGTTATTTTATTTAATTATTATTATTTAAATAATTGTGTTTTTTTCACCTTGAAAACCTTTCAATAGGACAACAGACAGATTCGTTCCAAAGAG